GCCACGCCTGCGGCTGCTGCCGGGATACTGGGGGTCCGGCGTCTGTGTGCCCCGTCTGTCTTCCTCTCTCTCAGCCACTCTCCCTGAAGGGGCGCCAAACTCTGCGCTGGGGCGGGACGGCTCTTAAAGGGACAGCGCACTCATGCCGTGCCAGACTCAGCCCGGCCCTGATAGCTGCCAGCACTGTACTCTGCAGGAGCACAGCCCCATCCGGAAACCAGCGCTCAGAACGGATACAAATCAGCCAGGAAGCCTAGGGACCTGGCAGACCAAACAAATGTGTGCATTCTGTTACTAAGTTCGCCCGGGTTACATATCTCTACGAGTATTTTTTAACAAAAACAAAGGGTTATTTTAAAACTTAAATAAAAGAACTGAGAAAATAAACTGTAATACCAGTTGCAGCCTCTCCCTAGGAAGGGAAACGCCACAGAACTCACACGGGAGCCAAGATGGCGTCTCATCCAGACTGACCTGCCCCTTTCTGAAAGACTCTCCAATAGCGGGCAGTGTTAGCTCGCGGTGCTCGACTGGGCGGGACTGCGTGGCTTCTCCACCAATTAAAAGGCGTATTACTGGAGCTGTTCTAGTCCCGCCCTGTGTAGGTTCTCTCTTTCCGTTTCCTGCGGCTGTGCTCCTTCCTTTCTGTTGCTCCGTCTGCCTTAGTGGACACGCGGTCTCTTTCTCCGACAAGTGAGTGTCCGAAAACCCGACCCATACCTTCCGAACCTGGCCAGAACCGACCAGGACGGGGAGTTATAGCTCAGTCCTGCTCGATCCCGGTCCGGTTCATCTGCTGTGCGCCTATCTGAGAAATAAAGCTCGATCCACGCCACGCGTGTTTGGTGGCGATGGAGCCGTCCCAGCGCGGCGCTGTGGACTAGTGTACTGTAGACGCAAGACATCCAGATCGCACGCGGGCTGATGTTATAGCTTCACGTTGCGCCATAGAGTAACACACAAAATCGGTTTAGAGTATGTGTCAGCGGTGGCTCTGTGGCTCAGGATCTGCACCTGTGACTGGAAGGTTGCCGGTTCAAATTCCGCAGCCGGCAGAGGAATCCTACTCCGTTGGGCCCCTGAGCAAGGCCCTTAATCCCAACTGCTCCAGGGGCGCTGT